CCTGGCCAAAGTCTAAGAATTAGAGAGCCTGGCCAAAGTCTAAGTCTAAGAATTAGAGAGTCTGGCCAAAGTCTAAGTCTCCTGAACCACGTTCCCCACGGTGCCCTAGACCCAAGGGACAGCCCGAGGGGCGCCSCGCGCCGCTCACCCGCCTGCTGCGCCAGCCTGCAAGCCTCCCCGATCCTCCTGCCCGTCAGGCAGCTGAAGACGGCGTCGACGGGGCTGTCGTGGCGGGCCAGGGACACCTCGTCGTCGACGCGCGCCGCCGCCGTGCGCGCGAGCCAGCGGGAGAAGGCCCTCCGGCGCTCCAGCGCCAGCACGTACTCGCTGGGCTCCTCCAGGCTGGCCTCCAGCTCCCGCAGGTTCCCCCAGATGGCTTCGCATAACGTCCACGTCAGGCACCAGGGCTTCACCACAGCTGCTGGGGCAGAGTGAGGCACGTGGGGTACAAAGAGAAGAACAGAGCACTCGTATTATAGAATGCTTAAGGTGGGAAGGGCCTCAGAGATCATCTAGTGCAACCCCCCTGCTCATGCAGGGTCACCTAGAGCACAGGGCTGCGTCCAAGCAGGTTTTAAAGATCTCCAAAGAAGGAGACTCCACCACCGCTCTGGACAGCCTGTTCCAGTGCTCTGTCACCCACCCTGTCAAGAAGAATATCAGAGTATCAGAGCATCCTGGTCGTGTATCACAGCATAGAAGGATATCCTATTGTTAGGGAGATTCCTCTCTTGGGCAGAGAGGAATGATGTTCCTCTCTTGGGCAGAGAGGAACCTCATGAGGTTCAATGAGGACAAGTGCAGGGTCCTGCACCTGGGCAGGAATAGCCACAGGCACCAGCACAGATTGGGGGTTGACCTGCCTGGGAGTCCTGGGGACACCAAGGTGACCATGAGTGAGCAGTGGGCCCTCGTGGCCAAGGAGGCCAATGGGATCCTGGCTGCATCAGGAGGACGTTGCCAGCAGGTCAAGGGAGGGGATCCTGCCCCTCTGCTCAGCCCTGGGGAGGCCGCACCTGGAGTACTGCGGGCAGCTCTGGGCTCCCCASTATAAGAGGGACGTGGAGCTTCTCGAGAGGGTCCAGAGAAGGGCAACCAGGATGATTAAGGGAATGGAACATCTCTCGTACGAGGAGAGACTGAGTGAAGTGGGCCTGTTCTCTCTGGGGAAGAGAAGGCTGAGAGGGGATCTGATGAACATGTATAAGTTCAGGAAGGGAGAATGCAGTGAAGAAGGGGACAAGTTCTTTTCATTGGTGGCCAGCAATAGGACAAGGGGTAATGGGTGCAAGCTGCAACGCAGGAGGTTCCATCTCCAGGTGAGGAGGAACTTCTTCACTGTGAGGGTGCCCGAGCCCTGGAACAGGCTGCCCAGGAAGGCTGTGGAGTCTTCTGCTCTGGAGGTCTCCAAAACCCACCTGGATGCCACCCTGTGCCACCTGCTCTGGGTGTCCCTGCTGGAGCAGGAAGGTTGGACTAGATGATCTCTAGAGGTCCCTTCCAATCTCAAAAATTCTGTGATTCTTTAATTCACATTTCACGGCCCTGATGCAACCTGAAGTTGAACTGAACTGGACGGTTCTACAGCTTCCCAGTAGGAAAAGGATTATTCAGTACTCACTTTCCGTTTCGGCAAGGTAAAGAGACGCCTCTCTGACCCAATCGACATAGTCATGAATAACAGAAACTCCYGGATTGGGTGCTAGAAGAGGACACTCTTCATCCATATGGACAGTGCTGTGTTTCAGCTTGATCTCCAGGGGAAAGAGATACAGATGTTTGTCTCTGCCTATCTTCCTTTGTTCTAAGCTCAGCTTCTCCACGTGAACCTTGAAAGAAGATTCTGTGAGTCTGGAGATAAAAGGAAAAAAAAATCAAATCAAGAGAAGTTCTGGATTATTTTCCATGCAAGGGAACGGCACCCACAGTGCCAGTATCCKGCAGCTTGTCCTAGATGTTAACAAAATGACAGTAAGACATGTGATCCAAGGAGCAGCAGCTGGGACTAAAGGATCTGTTTACCTAGTCGGGGATCCAGAACCAGACTTTAGCAAACAGATCTCCCAGGATTGGGTCCTTCCAGGACCCTGAAGGTGCCAGCAAACCTCACCAACCCCTAACCCATTCTGTGAGCAAACCTTGTTCCTGCCCAAACCAGACGTGCTGGGAAACATCTACTGAACAGGCACCTAGGAGACCTGAAGATGAAACACCTAAATAAATTCCAGTCAAGCCCAGGTACACACAGCTCAGGAGAACTTTGCTGTAGCAAAACTGAAGGCATCAGAGAACTCAAAAGTTAAGCAAGAAGTTTCCTGGGTAGTAAAGATACCGGCAGCTGAGTAGAAGCTTCCAGGAAAACTGTTACCAGATTTCGCTTCAACCCTGTGCTGAATCATGTGGCTATTTCCTTATTCTATAAAACTGCTCTATATCCACGGATATTCCTGTTATGACATGTGGATTGTTTTATAAAACAGCAGCCTGAAGGAGGTTGTGGAGCCTCCTGCTCTGGAGGTCACCAAAACCCAGCTGGACGCCACCCTGTGCCAGGTGCTCCATGTGTCCCTGCTGGAGCAGGAAGGTTGGACTAGATGATCCCTAGAGGTCCCTTCCAACCTCAACCATCCTGGGATTCCGTGAGATCTCCCTGGCTAAATCTAACACCCTGCAGCACTTCTGCCTATCTGAAAGAACATCAAAGTGACTCTCCAAACCAAACCAACAGCGGCAACGTCATCAGGATTCCTTGCAAGGCAAGCATGGAGCCGAGCCCTCCGGTCATCCCGAGGGAAAACACCACTCACGATTTGGGTGCAACAGGAGTCGGCAGGAATCCGTATTCCACAGGCTCGCACTGAAGGTCATCGGCTGCGCTCGCGCCGCTCAACTGATCCCCGCTATGAACCAGCGTCCAGTTGGGGCCCCAACCGACACGAAACGAGCGCCCCATGAAGAGCGCCATGTCCATGAGCATCTTCCCCTTCCCGAAGGTGACGGATCTTTCCAGCGGGACCAGCCCCTGCTGCCGGCGGACGCCCACTGTTTTCATGGGCACCTCGGGAGCCGCGGAAGGCACCGAGAAGGCGGGCGCCAGCGGGGAAGTCACCGACCAGGGCGCAGCAGAAGGGCTGCTCAGAGCCTGGGGCCCTCGGAAGTCCTGAGGAGGGCTCGGCTGGCGGGAAAACACGCTGGCGAATTTTGACTGCAACAGACCGCCGACTGGAAGGGAAAAGAACGAAGAATATATTTAAATCAACAGGCTACTCAGTTTGCAGCAATGTATTCTGAAAATATTTCAGTATTTCTGAAGCAAGCAGTGAAATACTCGCTACGGACCACGATGGTCATTCCAAGCCCATCGTGCACGTCCTATGCTGCGCTGTCCACGCTAAGTGCGTGGCGTTGCATCAACAACAACGCACGTGTGAGAACCACCCCCAAATCTGCCATTTCCAAAGTGAAAACCCATTCAACCGGTGCTCGTGGAGGTACCGTTAGAACCGAGACATCTCAGGGCTGAAACTGTTCCCGTGGAAATCTCTCCTATCTGCCCTTTTAGTCCAGCGTATATAAATATACATATATATATATGTGGGATAATATATATATATTATTGGAGTTGAAAGCAGTCAGCACACAACTGTATATTTTGGTATATAGTTTTATATCAATACTGGGCCAGTTCTATACCAATACCCTGGCCCAGTATCCAGCCAAAGACAGGATCTTCCCTATGAGTGCTGGAATTCAACTCTTTCTTCACACTCCATGTGGTTTCTCACGATACCTGAGTGTTTCTTGTGTCCTTGCGACGCTGAAATAGGGAGCCTGGGCGAGCAAATCTCCTGAGAGGTATCCGTTTTTGTGAGCTGCTTCCCAGGATAAGGATCCAGGATCAAGTCCATATCGTCGTCATCAGCAAGCAAGGAGGCTTTCATGATCTAGAGAGATGAAGCCTGCTCGTTAACCATCACTAACAGCTCTTTTCCCAACAAARATAACTTCCAAACGTTGTGTGGGACCAAATCACGCCATGAAGCCCAGGCAACAGCTAAGGTACGTGATTCCAGAGAACTGGAAGCGAGCTTATCTCTTCGACAAGCTAACAGTTAAGCCAGGACTACTTCCAACTCATCCCAATGCCACGATAGGAAAAGTTAAGATCTTACTTAGTTCTGCCGCTCTGTCTACCTACCTTTTTGAGTAATGGTTGAAAACTCCAAGTTTATGTTTTCTTACAAATTAAAAGTGGAGGCAGAAGCACACAAATGTTCAAACTGCTGTTCTTCCCCACAAAAAAAGGAAACCCCAAACAAACCCAGTCATCCTGCTGCTACGTGAGCCCGCACAAACTTCCTAGTCTTGCAGTTTAATTATCCCTACAATCCAGGCAGTTCTGACTCGTTCTGGCTAATTATCTGTTTAGTTCTCACGTTTCCCATGCTCCATGGGATTTTAAAACCTGGCTTCTGGTTTTAAGATATGTTTTATTTCTGCATTGAGCTTTATGACTATAAAGGCTTCCCAAAGAAGAAATTTAATGCTCAAGGCAATGACACCATAGCGATAACGCAGGTTGGAAGAAGCTGGAACATACACAGCCCCGTGAAGACAAATTGAGGACTTAGCGACAGGAAGGTCCAAGTTCCTTTGGAGGAGGGAAGTGCCGCTCACCTGCAGGACGTGCGGGTTGATGCCCAGCGTGGAGGCTATGTGAGTGGAGGCCGGCAGCGCCTCGGGCTCCTCCGGCGCGGCGCCCGCGCGCGGCGCCGCCGGCTCCGGCAGCTCCTGGGTGATGTCTGCCATGTCGCTGTCCAGCTCCAGCACCCGGCCCAGCTGCTCCACTTCTGGGGGCTGCGGACACAGGCAGAAGCCGCGTGAGCCGAGAGGCTCCAGTGCTTGGCCGGGCGAGGCTGTTGAGCAGCTTCAACAACCGCCTGCAGAACAAACTCCCTCGTTGACGCCAAAATCCTACGCTCAATTTACAGATTAACGACCCTACTCAAGTTTTCTTTGGAACTGAAACGTAACAGTGCAGGCTGAAGTCCAACAGAAGGAAGAATTAGGTAGTTTTGCCCTCATAGTTTGCCAACCACCCTACTCAGCTACCCATTCTGACGTGCCCAACAAGAGCCTGTGCTTACTGCCTTCCTCCCCTCCTTCCTCATGATATTATTACATAAAGTCCAAGTTATCCCGTGCCCAAGCTCATGCTGGGACATTTACATGAGGGAGCGACCACTTTACAGGCAGCAGAGCTGGTGGCACCAGTGGTGCCACTCTCCACAGAGCTGGTGGCACCAGTGGTGGCCAAGAGCCAGGTGAGTGGCACGGAGCTACCAGCCTTGACCATCTTCTGCTCAGCGAACGCCCTGAACATCAACCATGGGGAAGGAGCAGCTCGGTGAGGTTGTGCCCTGCTCACCTGGGTGACACTGGGTGCACACAGGCACCTGCGAGCAGCTCTGCTTTGCTCTTAACCAGGAAGATGGAACTTTGATTACTTGAATACCAGGATACTCGAAGCTATGGGATTTCTAGGGATATTCTGCTGACCTCCAGCCCAAGAGCAGTTAGAAAGCTAAATATTGTCTTAATCCAAGATTAAGTTTCTCATCTGTACTGCTAGTTCAAGGCAGGAGAAAAGCTCATTTTATCATTTTCCCAAAGCCACATAGCAATAAAATAAGCCCTTAAGGAAGGAAATTCTCTTTATTAGAGGTTTGTGTCAACTGGATCATCTTTAGGGTGAAGCTGAGATGCCTCCACACATCTTGAGTAACTTGAGGCTGCAGCTTGGACACAAATCCCCTGCAGGAGCAGGGAACGTGGGAGCTCTTGCCATGAATGTGGAGCTTGGGTTGCTGGGACCCTCCCGTCCATCCCACTGCTCCATAACCCCTGGTTTGTGGTTACTGGGGTGGCTCTGGTGGGTGCTGAGCCCGGTGCTTTGGGACGGGGGTCCCGCGGAGGGGTCGCGGGTGCTGCTCGTTTGGGTTCTGGTGGCCACGGCTTGCAGACTGCTCTGGGGTGAGCATGGAACTGCAGCACAGGGGGCTTCAAAGGAGCTTCTGCRGCTTGCCTGGAGCTCCAACAGTGGAGACTCGTCAAGCCAAGAAGTTTTCAGATGATCAGAGAATGGCTGAGGGTGACAGGGATCCCTAGGGATCAYCCMGYCCAGCAGGGACACCCRGAGCACGGGGCACCCGCTCCAKCCCGGCGCGGTGGGAAGGTCTCCAGAGCAGGAGCCTCYGCAGCCTCCCTGGGCAGCCTCAASCAGGGCTCGGGCACCCTCCCACCAAACAAGTTCTTCCCCACGGCCACATGGAGCTGCCCGGCCTCCAACCTGCACCCACTGCCCCTTGGCCTGCCCCTGGCCACCACCCACAAGAGCTTGGCCCCTTCCTGCCTCCATCCTCCCCTCGGSTGCTTGCACACACTGACCAGSTSCCCTCTCGGCCWCCTCTTCTCCRGCCTCAACAGGCCCCGCTCGCTCGGGCTCTCCTCACACAAGAGCTGCTCCAGTCCATCATCTTCWTCATCCTTGCTCTCTTTTGCTCAGCAAGAGCATCCTGGGCTCTGGCGTGCGCCTGCTGCCTCTCCTTCTGTCAATGGCCATCACGGAGAAGATCCTGCCTTTGTCTTCTTCGCACCCTCTCACAACATGGGTAAGATCCACACTCTCCAGCCCCATCTTCCGCACTGGTCCATGGGTTGCTTCTCTTCAAGAGGGGGACTTTGCAGCTCCCTGTGCTGCATCTCACCAGGTTCTGCTCTACTCATGTCTCCCAACTGCCAGGATCCCTCTGAAGGGCAATGCAACCAGCCAGTGCAAGGGCCACCCCTCCCTAGCTCCCATCTTCTGCCCACTTGCTGAGGGTGCATCCAGTCCAGGTCATCACTCTCAATAGCATCGGCCCCAGTACTGAGCCCTGAGGGACACCACGCGTCCCCCAGCGGGACCTTGTGTCACTAATCATGACTCAAACCCAGTGGTTCAGCCRGCTTTCCAACCCTACTGACCAGCTAGCCTGCAATGCATCGATTTGCCTGGGAGGATGGGACAGAAGACCCTGTCAAAAGCCCTACTGAAGTCACCACAAGCACCATCATCACTCTGGGAACCTCCCAGGCTGCTTGTGCCCTGCTGTGTTCCTCTCCAGCAGAGACCCAAGAGGCTGAAGCCCCTGTGAAGAACAGGGCCTGTGAAGCTTCTCGCTGTTCCTTGAAGGCCTTGCCTGATGCTTGTGCTGACCTAGCATCAGGTCAGGTCTAACACCACCTGGTTCCTCAGCAGGTTCCACAACAGACATCCACTGCAGCGCTACCCCATCTGCTCACACATGTGGACATGCATCTCAGCAAGGAAGGCAGGCCCTTGGAAATCATGCTAAGGAAGTTAAATCCACTAAATTTCTCTTCATTTTTCATGAGAAGTGGCCAAGAAACATGATAAAGGATATCAAGATTAGGCAGATAAAATTAAAGCAGGAGATCCAAGAAGACTGAGCTTACCGCCAGGCTTGCARACAAAGTCAACCCGTGGTCTCTCCATGTGTTTACAGCGCACAAGCCAAATTTACAAGTCAAACACGGTCATCCTCAACAGTTCCCTGCTTCCCTCATTGTGCTTTAATGCAGCAAGGTCCCTGGTGTAACCTTGCCCCCCTAACAAATTCATTAGCGCTCCAGTTAGGGAGGGAGGAAAACCACCCTAGATCCTCAACACCTCCCTCAGACCCAGGAATACGATTTCCAAGCGCTTTACGTGCCAAGATTTTGGCAGGCTTCCAAGCCAAGCTCCCTTGTTTCCCAGTGTTTATGGAAACAGAGCTAGATGCTTGCTGCATTTGCAGAATCAAACCTCTGCCTGCCTGGATGCGTTTTGGCCAAGCGTATTGCAGCCTACAAGAGAAACCGAGGTGAGCCCTGTGTGTTCCTAGTATTTTTTTTCCTGCTGGAAACATCAGCTCTGGTCCCCACAACCTCAGCAAGAAGATGGTGAGGACGTACAGACACACAAGCCTGTTAGATGTGTTCCAATCTAAGAAATACTTAAGGAATCTAGTTTTACACACCAGCTTGAAATAGCAAGTTTAATAACTCGCTATCGAATTAGTGAATAATCAACCACCGTAGCAGCAAAACTGATGGCAGTGCAGCAGTTGTACGTGTCTAGTTAGTATTTGCGGATTCCCYACCACAAAGGAGGTGGGAATTCACTGGGATGCTCCCCAGCAGGCGCTCTGCTAAGCGCAGCCTGTGCTGGCACCGGCTTCCCATCAACTCGGTGACCCAGCCCCTGCCACCCGAATCCTGTGGCTGCACTGAAATATCTCAGGAAGCTGCTGCGAGCAGAGCCCTTCGTCCTGAGCCCAGTCCTAAATGCTCCATCCCACCTTGCTTGCAGGAATAAGATAAGGATGATAACGGGAGTGTTTCCTGTGGCACTGTGAGCAGCCCTGTCCGGGGCTGTAAAGGCTGCACGAGGCAGCACAGGAACACGGTAGTGCCGCTCTCGAGGAGGCACCAGCCCAGGAAGGAGGACGAGGATCCCACAATCCTGCCTTGGAAGCGGCTGCTTGTCCTGCTTTGCCTCTGCAGATCCAGAAATGGATCTGTCCTGCCCTGCTTCCGTGGCTCCTCGGTCGGTCCACACTGCAGCGTGCTCGAGGATCTCATTTCACTGCACTCACAGGTTACTGGAGGGTAGAACGGAAAGGCTGCTTGGAAACAGGAACAAAAGCCTCCCTGCAAACACTGCGTGGCTGTTAAATACCCTTCTGCTCAGCCCTCCTGCACACGGCRACTGCTCGGGCTGCCACCACTAGACAGAAAATAACCTGCTTTTTCTGGGTAGAAAAAGGCTTCTGCTCCCTGGATTTGCATCCTTCTGCTCTCTGCATTTGCATCCTGCTTGATAACGAGTAATTTCAACAAGGTATARGTAGTTTGAAGGATGTTTACCAGGAATGCTATTGTAAGGGATATGTTCCCTCCTGTAAGTGCCACTGTTTTCCTGCCCACGGCAAAGCAGGTCCCGATTTAACCGACGGCGTCTGTACCAACTAAATTTGGAAACGGGAGTGTATTGGCTGCAATTAGATTCCCCCTTAAACACATGGGGGGRAAAAAAAAGTCCAACTAAAACGAGTAAACACTAGTAATGAAGGGGTTACTGGTGAAAGGAGGAASCTTCCCTCTAAGGCTGAAACGTTCTCTCACAAAATACCTGTCGTGAAAGTTTTCCAAAGCTCCAGAGCTTCCAAGCACACTCCACCTCGATGCGCTTAACCTACTCTAAGGCTGGTCATATGCTGGATTTTTAATTAAAAATAGAGCACGTTCTCAAAATAGCATGCAAGACCGTATGCTTTATAAGTCATGTATTGAGTCATGTTATTGCACAAAGTCATTTTCAACGTAGGCAGAGCAMGGGGTCATAGTTATATAGCGTATAATCAATCATCAACATTCACAAGAGCAGGTTTTCTTCCACAGGTGATGTAAATATGCCAGATTCTATCTAGTCCCCACTCTAAACAAGAAACAAGGGTTTAAAGTCTTCCCCCGTCCCCACCTTATATCCTCAGGACGAAGTTTCAAGTAATTAATGAGAAAGAACATGCAAACACTTATTTAAGAGCCCGAAGAGCGACCCAGGCTGAAGTTTATGTGAGGTTTTGCTCTTCTGCTTCCAGGCTACTTGCTGCATTAACAACCCTGCCCTAGGCAACCAGCTAGTCTTCCAACTTGGCTTTAGCAATCTGCTTTTAGTCATCATCCTCCTTCTACCTGGGATGGAGGTGTTGGCTTGCCGTTTAGGGTCATTTGCTGGGGCTGCAGATGTCCCGGGGGTGGCACGGGAGCCGTTTTCAACTTCTTGGCGTCCGCCTTGGAAGGCTGCTCCTCCTCTTCCTCGTCGGAATCTTGCAAGCCGTACTTGGAGAAGTGGGCCACCTGCGTGGTGAGAAGGGCAAGGCTGTCACTGCTGGGGGACGGGACATCAGGTGCCGTAAGCRCGACACTTGGGACACAATTTCAACCTAGTGCAGACCAAGGATAGCTGCTGCAGGCAGGTTTTGGAGCCAAAGAGGTTTCTGCTGCTCTGGTTAGCGCGGTCTGCACTGCAGTTGAAGTTGACTTGAAAAACATTTAACATAAATTTAGTTGACTTAAAAATATTCAACAAACTTAGTAATTTTTTGGAATTGCAAGTTCTCAGGAGAGTCCCACATGCAGAAAATACCAGTAGCCTGAAGTCAATTCACAGCTAGGAGAACAGAAGTTACCTTAAACACCCATGATCCGGTCTCTGGGCGGTATTCCTTGAAGCGAGCTCCCTGTTTTCGGGACACGGCCTCTAGTCTGCCTTCGTAATTCATCTCCGCTAACCGTTCGGGGCTTTTTATCAAGCAACGAGATGTTTTATCCGTAGGCCAGACTCCATCTAACGTAACTTCAGCTCGCCTGGGAAACAGAGGAACACAAAACTGAGGTGAAGCTACTAGAACACACATATGGGAGCTAAGAACTGAATAGGGGGGCTCAAATATTTTGAGTTTCACTTCAAAAACTGCAATAATTCTGCTGCAAAACCTGCARAAACTCTGCAGTGTCGTAATCTGAAAATATGCCCCCCAAAGCTGCTTTATTCATAGCTTTCTGGAAACACAGGTGGTAAGATACTCTTACCCCGTCTAGGCAGTATATTAAATAAAAGAACACCCCCAAAACCCCCACAACTCTAGGTTACCTATTTAATCCTTCACCAATGGGTGGCTTCCTCTCATCGTCAGGGTAAACAATCACTTCTTTCCTACGGATATGCACTATGTCATCCAAATTCAGGTTTGTTAGGTTCACTTCTCCTTCAAAGTAAATTGAGCCGTAACCTGAAATAAGAAAAAAGTGAAATTTGGCCAAAAGTCACAGTCTGCACCTCGAGAACCCGAGTTCCTGCTGTACTCGTCCCCAGCTGACCAGCCAGCTTGGTCATGTCTCCAGCGCAGGGTACAAGGTGCGGACTCCTTCAGTGTGAAAATACTGAAGATTTAGCAACTATTTTACTATTTGTACTAAAGAATTGAGTGTAACAAAAAGCTATTTGGTTATTCACGTGAGCAACGTAACTAGAGAGCTATACCCTCAGTTTTACAACGCTTTTAGAGAATGTGCTTTAAAAACCAGTATATATAACATGAGTTTTTAAAATCCCAATAAAGTAAAAGCAATGAAGAACACTGTTCAGGTTGAGCCCAGCAAGCTCAAATAAAGCTGAGAGGAAACAACTACCATCAGTCCAGCACCCATGCTCCAGCAGGCTTCACTTGCACAATTTCCCTGCTTGACAACATCTTAAGAGCTGCAGAAGCCTCTGAAAAGCTCAGGGAGAGCAACACGTGAGCCCCTAACAGAGGTAGTTAAGGCGAGGGCTCTGCAGAATTATGGGTCTTGGATGCAAGTTGTTCCCAGTGCAGGGAGCTGCTTCCAGCCCTGCTGGAGGTAGGAAGCAGATGCAGTTTGCAGGGGTTTATACGCAGGGAAGGTACGGGCGGCGCGGCTACCTTTGCGGCCGATGGTGAAGTCGCTGACGATGCACTCGTTGCGGTCGCTGGTGAGGCGGGCCAGCTCCTCCAGGGACGGGATGGTGTAGTAGCCAGCTCTCGTCAGAACGATTCCTGCAAGAGGGGACATTCGGAACGGCTGAGAACTCCACGGCTGCAAAACTACCAGCTTTGGCCATGAAAAAAATCTCATTCCCTTCCTTTCACACACTGGACAGCTGAAGACTCCAAATGCACTGAGAATTAGTGCAGGGGAAGCCAAGCCTATTAACTACACAGCTGCCTTTGCAAACTGCAAACCCAAGTGTGGGGTCAGGCTGTTGCAGATGAGCACAACCACGACCCTGTCATGCTCAGAGGCAGCAGGAAACCCTACTACGGTGTCCAGCTATTGCAGACAAGCACGACCACAATTCTGTCGTGCTCAGAGGCAGCAAATGTGCAGCACGGAGCTCTCACAGCAACACTCAACACAATTACTCTCCCAGTTTTAACAGCTGGAAGCTCGGGCACCTGCTGACTACCATGTAGCATCTTTTCCCTTTACCAGGCTCCAAAGCTTCCTCATCCGTTCATTTGATGAATGATCTAATGATTTGATTAATAATTTAAAATATAATTAAGCTTTTTACATCCACAACTTGTCACCAGGGCAGCTAGGTTAGGTGACATTCRTGAAGAGAGATGTCTTTTGAACGTGACACTTGATAACCCACTCCAGTCACCTGCTCCCGACGGGCACGTGGCCTCAGCTCTCTCCTGCTCTAAAAGCCTTAGATAAACTAAGTTATTCAGAYCCCTCATCACCTTTTCACACTTCTCTATTCCAATTTCACTATACCCTGAGACTAGAATTGAGGAAATACCGAGGAAYGGGTCTGTACAGTGGCAAAACCCTCATCTCTATTCCATTTCTTTTTTTAGGAATCTCTGATGTGTTGAGAACGAGCAAGCAGTACAATTTTAAGGGAGTCATAACCCTAAGATTGTGGTCTTAGCTGGTAATCAACTCTGCCCACTACTAGAGCACAATTACACACTGGTTCCTCTTCCTCTCCCCATCTCCCATACAGTGGGCAATGCAACAGAAGAGCAGCTGACGAATTTGGATTGCTCTGCTCCRGTAAAAGGATTTTCTGCACTAAGTAAGAGACTGGGAAGCAAGATACGGGCTCTGAAGACAAGGAGAAAAGGGAAATAACCCCAGGCCAACCTGCAGGATGCAGGTGATGCACAGTTTCTGCCTCCTCCTCACGCTCGTCCTGCAGGGAATCATCGTGAAAGGAGGCGTCCTCGCTGCTGCCTTCCAGGCCGTTGCGCAGGGCCACCCGCATGTTGAGCGCCACGAGGGTGTCGTCCACGCTGTTCTGGTGCCGGTGCGCGGCGCTCTCGGGCGTCTGCGGGATGGGCTTGGCAATGGGGTTCGTGTAGAACCTCGTCACCTCGTGCTGATCCTCCTCTTCCTCGCGTTCGCCGTCTTGCCTGTGGTTTTCATCAGGAGGCACCGACAAGAAGAACCTACAGAAGGACGAAGCTTAGCTAGTTGGGAGACTGAAGACTCAGGGGRACTAAGACTGGTCTAAACCCCAAATTTCTTTCCATATAAGCAGCAGACAGCACCACCACCTAAGGCGCAGTGCCAGGGAAGCAGTTATTCCCCTTTACTCTGCACCTGTCAAAACACCTCTGGAATTCTGCATCTAACCTGGGATTCCCAATACAAGCCGCTGAAAAACCCGGGGAAGGACTCAAACACTTGGTTTCTTGCTTGGGCAATGGAGAGCGCGGAAAAGAAAAACATCCCTCTGAATTCCTGGGTTTGGAGGAAAAGGACTCGCTTCCGAGCTCACAGGAAGAGCAGAGGGCTAGTTTAAGGGAAGGGAATCTCCAGCAATAAGTGAGCTCATCTTTAATGAGCAGCTAAGACGACATTCCTTAGAAAAAAAGACTACCTACTTCACTCAAAACGTGCTGGAAAACATGCTGGAAAACCATAACYAGCTTGCATTTCTCATGAGCATGAATCAACATACCGGTCTCCGTTCTCGGGATACTCTGACGGAGAAGCCAGGTCTTCGTTTTCACGACTGACAGGTGAAAACAGGTTGCTATTGTTGAGGTTTTTCAAAACCAACTTTTTGATGCTTTTCCTTAAAAAAACAGGAAAGAGGAGTTTAGTTAGATCCACTGTTTAAATACATGCTGCATGGTTAATTCGACAGATCCAGTTACTGGGAGCTGTGTAAGATCTGTTCCCACCATCATGACGGATGAAGTCTTCTATTTGAGCACTGCAATAGCTGCCTTACTAATAGAAAATACATATATTTTCAGAATGCCATTCAAGGCACCGGTTTCTAAATGGGTATAACAGAGGCAAACRTATGAAGAACCAGTGTTAGGTTATGAAAATATCAGAAACTGCCTTCATGCTAAGCTACATTAACAAACCTGATGAGATTTGGTTTCAGAAACAAGTGTTATAGTGTCTTCATTCCTCCTAATAATTTATAGCTGACCTTATAGGCAGTTTCATTCCAGTCACAGGATGAGCTCAATCAACAGATTAACTGAAGCCACCAATTAAGGCCGACCATTTGCATCCTCTCTGCAATAACCACTCGCCTCCAAATGACACAGACCCAATTTTACTGTTCATGTTTGAACCAGGTCACCCACTCCCTTGCAGTCAGGGGAGGTAGTAAAGGAATTTACTTCAGGTGGTCAGAGCCTTAGAAGAGGACATCCAACCTGCCCAAAAGCTTCAGGCGAAGCTGTAACTTTTGGCCGTACCCCTTTTCAAACAAAGGTATCAGGAGGTTATTTGTTACGCTGATATGGCCAAGGAAAACAAAGGAGGATATTGTGGAAAGGCACTTTTCAGGAGGTCATTTTCTTCTTGCGCCGCCCTTTCCCTCCAAGGGACACAAAAGGGACTAACTTGGGCATGAAGGCCCCGTTGGACAAGGAGGGCTCGTCGTCATCGAGGCCGTCGAAGAGGTGGGACTTGGCAGAGCCGGCCGTCTGCAGAGCCTTCGGTCGCACCCTGGTCGCGGGGCGAGGGGTCAGTTTGTAGTGCGTGGGCGTCGTTAAGGCCTTCTGGGCTGCCGGGTTGGTTGGCTTCAGCCTCTGAAAGAGTGAGATATAGAAGTGAATTTTCCCACCATTTGAAATAAAAAAAAAATTAAAAAGAAAAAAAAAGGAACTTGTTTTCTCTAAACTGGCAGGACAAAACGTGTCTTTGTCATAATCAAAGCTCACATGAATTACCAAAATAATTCCACGTTAATATCTACAATTGCACCCCTTTATTCCCAACTGGCAGCAGGAAACCCAAGAACTCAAAAGCTCAGGCTTCCAAACTGCCAAAAGCAGCAGAGGAAGCCACTCTGAATGCAGTTTTAGGGTCCTGCAAGGCACAAGCAGCCACTAGATACGACAGAGATCCCAACACAGGAACATCCCTTCAAATCCCGACCCACCAGTTCCATGGGCACCCACCTCTTCCTTTTTCTTTGGATCTGACATGGGGTTTCGGAAGAGCGGGGAGTCGCCGAAGGGCGAGTAGGTCAAGCTGTTGAGGTGCTGCTGAAGCACTGCCTGCTGCGCCGCCGACGCGTTCGGGTCCGTCAATGCTGCGGGAGGAACGACAGCTTTCATACAAACTCCAGAATTCATTTTAATAYAACCCACCTTGGTTCTATTAGTAGAGCTATCTTCCCCAAAGACCTCCTTAATGAATTCTGATTTACACACAGACTTCAGGATTCCTTCCCTGGCACTTCAGTGACCATTTCCTACATGGCACTGGAGGAGGAGGGAAGTCCTTGCACTCCTCTTGGGCATCAAAATCTACAACTGTGCTCAACAGGACCTGAGTGAAGAGCAGCAGCAGAGCAAGTCTGGGCAAGCAAGGGGGTAGTTCTGGGGTGTTGCTCCTGCCTTTAGAAATCGTTCCCCTGACAGAAGAGCCTCCGAGCTGGAGCAACAAGTCTACACACMCCATTCCAAGTGTCCAGATGTGCCCCAAAAGAAGATTGGGACAGCTGGAGGGGCACACATTGCAGTTGGCAGAACTGCAGGAGAGCCTCAAATTAAAGGCCACTCATTTGGCCAAGGGAAGAGCTTTGTTGAGCCAATCCCTCTAACTCACCTAGTTGGAACTATTTAAGAAGCTACCAGCACAGTGCCCTTCATTTTTTCTTGGTAAGCCTTTTCTTTTGCTGCCCCACACACAGCGTRGGGAAATATCTTTGTGATTTTGAAGATGCAGCTCTAAAACAGATGCAGCTATTGATGTTAGACAGACACCACTGAACTACTTAAAGGACAATCAGCCTGAAGAGGCTTTTCCGAACACGGTCCATGTTGCTGCAGACAACAGAGACCTGCTCAGACATTTTGCCTTCCTCCCTAGAGGATTTGGGGTGATGCTCAGGCACATCTCAAGGCAGGAGGCAGCAGMGACACTTGGGTCAGCACACACTTACCCACAGCAGGCTGGGGAGCTCCAAACCCCAGAGTAGCTGTTGACGTGTTGAATCCTGGGGCTCCGAACGCTCCCGTTCCCAGCGTTCCACCCAGTTTCGGCTGCGTATTCCCAAATAAAGAAGTCTGCCCAGCCCCGAGAGCTAAGGGGAAAAAGACAAGTGTTATTTACCAYAGAACTGTAGAGAAGTTTAGAAGGCAATTCATATCACAAAGGAAATCATCTGCTAGTTGCAAGGATGGTTCAACCTGYCCGTGAATGCTACAGCACTGAGGTTAGAGGAACAGATTCCCCAAAATGGGATCACTGGGGAGCCTGCAGGCACACAGGGGATGCCACGAGGTTTCTGAAGCATCAGCCCCACCGCCAGCAATGCTGCTCTTGCTGCTCTCGATGGCAGCAGGACCCATTGGCACAGAGTCCAGCTTAAGACCATCAGCTTTCTGAGCTGATATAAGATTCACGAGCTCACCCCAAGAAGAGCCACCGCCCCGGCTGCCAGCCTGCTCACCTGTGCCAAAGCCTGTCCCCAGGCCTGTCCCCAGCGTCCCCGTCGCGGGCTTATTTCCAAACAAACTATTGCCAGCAGTGTTGGCGCCGAAGCCTGCGAGGACAGAAGCAGCTCGTTAATCTAAAGACGTGACAAGAGGGAAAAGGGGGAAAGTTATCTAGAGCAAGAAAGAATCCCCTGCTCGCAGAGAGCTCTACCGTGATTAAGGCCATATTTCATGCACCATTTCCAACAACTGAGGTTAAATTCTAACAAATAAGAGATCTTCAAGGGTATTACAACACATYTGGACCTATGAATGTAGTATTGAATAAACAAGCACAGAAAAACACTTTCTTGCCTTTTTAGATACTTAAGACTTCAGTATTTTATTGAAGGTCAGAAAGGACCCCACGGGTCTGCGTTTGGTGACAAATAAGATGCAGGAAAGTTTCTCAAACTGGAACAAACCCCATTTTACACTGCTTATACCACACAGATATGTCTGACTCTTACTGACAAAGCAGACTGGCAGGTGCACACAGTTCAGTGCCATATTTAGTGGTAAGAAAGTACAATGCTCATCTAATGCTAGACAAATTGCTTAAATTTAAGATTGGGAAACCATCCAATTAAAGCACTGATTAGYACACACACAAATAAGACTAAATAAAGCTAGGAAACTGCAGTCCTGAACTGAGATGAGAAATACCTTTGGGTAAGCTGTTGCACCACTGCAAGCAGTGCAGGGAAATTAAGACACTGGCATCAGCATCRTTCACTGCTCAAAGGTGCCAGGGCTGCCTGTAACGTGGCTACCTAGTCTCAGTCAACAGCAGAATATGGGACCTACAAGTGATTTTTCTCAAATAAAAAGGGTCATGATGGACTGTTTGTCCAAGCTTGGACACCACAAAATAACATCTCTGCAAAGATGCTGCCAGAGAGAACAAATCAGTTCCTTCCCTTCTTTCATAGGAGGCTGCTATAGCAGGATAGCTGCTTTTTAGACTTTGAGATACCYAAACGGATGTCAATGCCTTAAATATTCAAAAAAAGAGCTTTCAAAAGAAGCTTTTAAGCACATCACTGACTTGAGCCATCAGTGCCCGCTTGTTCTGCTTGACCACGTTCGTTCCCTAACACCAGGGCTGGGGGCAACAGAACACCACACGGTTCCTGAGGAGCTTCTGCTTYATCGTGTTCTTGGGAAAGAGGATGGCTACCGGCTAAAAATTACACAGGCAGCTCCATTTGCCCCAGAGCAAGATCTCCTCATGCTCTGTCGTTGAGTTACAGGCACCATTCTGACTGTTTCTAGCCCATTTCCTTCAGGGTTCCTCTGTGACCACAACATATCGGTTGTGGCTTCAACACTTTGCAATTGCAGGTTGGAATTTCTTCAGCACTACCCCAAAACGATGGTATTTTTACCCATTTACCTTCCAATCCAGGGTGCACCAGCAGGAGGGAAGGTACAACCAGCACCAGAGCCACTCTCAGGCGTCTTACCTGAGAATCTGAGCATTCGTAACCCTTTGCTGTACCATATTCAGCAGCCTGCTGTGTGGYATATGCAGTGTAATTCTAAGTGATCGAATGCCCCTCTTTACGTGTACCAAAACTGGAAGGGTTTGGATTGGTTCCTAAGGTCGGGGTGGGTTGSTTACCAAAGAGGCCGCCGCCAGTGGTTGTGCCGAAGGAGGGAGCGCTGGTCGTGGTGGTCCCAAATCCAGCAGGTTTGTTGCCAAACAGCGTCTGAAAGGAAGAGAGCTCCAGGTCAAAACCAGGTGCACTGAGAGCAAGAATTACAGGATGCTTCTTTGCYGGCAAGAAAGCAGAACTAGAGCAAGCACAAGAGCAATCCCCACTGTGGACACCCTACAGCAGCCACATGCACTAGTCCCACACAACAAACACCTTCCACCAAGGGGTATTTTATCTCCTTGACCCACCTCCACACAGAATACAGCAAAACTAAACAGACTCATGCTGAAGAAAAAAGCCAATTTGGGGTAGTGCAATTTAAACACCTGCATTTCCAGCCCTACAGATGTTTGCTCTCGCTGTCTTCAGTCACTCAAGACAACAGTGTTTGTTATTCTCTATTTCCATACCACCAGTAACTGTATTCGTGACTTTAGCAATACAATTTTTAGCAAACCCTTCTGCACCTTAGACATCTTTATTCTTTCAACACTACTTSAGCAGAGGTCACTACAGAGCACAGGACTCCAGAAGGAGCGGGTTTGCGTGTTTWATTAATCTTAGCTTTCAGCACAAAGGCACGGACGTACCGAACCGCCAACACCAAATCCTCCCGTGTTAGGCTGTCCAAAGAGACCAGTTCCAGTCCCAAATCCAGTCCCAGCATTTGTATTGGCAGCTGTTCCAAACAGACCTCCGGGCTGGGAGGGCTGGGTTGCCCCAAAGAGACCCTACAAACATAAATTGCGTTGAAAAAGGACTGCAATGTTATATATGGTATAGCACGGATGATCTGAACAGGGCCAAGGGTCAGTTAATAAAGTGACAGTTATTTCCTTTTGACATGGGGGGAGGAGGGGGAGAATGATGCTTCAATCAAAGAATTCACTGTTCTGGGAAGGAGCATTTCACAGGATCACAGAAGGGCTGARGKTRACAAGGATCCCTAGGGATCAYCCMGWMCAGCCCCTGCTCCAGCAGGGACACCCRGAGCAYGGGGCACCCGCTCCAKCCCGGCGCGTTGGGAAGGTCTCCAGAGCAGGAGCCTCCGCAGCCTCCCTGGGCAGCCTCAACCAGGGCTCGGGCACCCTCCCACCAAACAAGTTCTTCCCCACGGCCAC